ACCGCCGCACCAGCACCGCATCTACTACAGCAGATACACACATCGCTTCAGACACAACGACGAAAAGCCCGCATCTGTGGCCGGAACAACCACCAACAACCAACCTTAGCGATCCGGTACGCCGCGCTGTTGGGGATCCTGACCATTCGGTTATGGTTCTGCACACCCTCGTGGAGGTACTTGCGCACCCACCACCGGCCGTACGTGGCGAAGAAGAAGCCCTTCTCAGGATCGAATTTCTCCACCGCTCGGATGAGCCCAACAGTGGCGTCCTGGGTGAGGTCCTTCTCCGTGAACCTGCGATATTAATCGAAACAATGGCCCCACGGGGCGGGGAGGGGGGGGGGGGGGTGGTAAGGGCGGGGCAAATTCTTCGTGTCTGTATGGGTGCTTTTGTAACAAAGAAGTGACGGCGGTGGATGACGTCACTGAGAAAATAATAAGCATCTCTGGCGACAGCAGCAGCAGCAGCAGCATCGCTACCAACAGTAGCAAAAACCATTACCATCACCACCACCAACGAAAACGGCAAGATGCAAAAAATGAGCACACACGCCTTCCCTTCATTCATACCTGCCGTAGGCGAAGGTCCCCACGTAGTTCTTGACGATGATGTCCACCAGGTTAAGGTTGTCGAGCACTGCCACATGGCGTGGTGTTCGTGAAGAGCGAGCGAGGAGGGGCGCAACGGACAACACACGAGTTTCGTAAACCAAACATGTTCAAGGGGCTGCGGTATGGACGATTCGCATGCCACACGTAGATGCAAAGCATCCAGAGATGGTCACCACGTAGTCGGCGAAACTTGGAGCTCGGGCGTGCCTGGCGAGTGGTACCAAGCGGTATCCTTTTCCCGTCCCCTCAGGCAAAGCCTCGTCCTTCAAAGCATCATAATTTTGTTCTCCCTTGAAAATCACACTTTTGCTGGTGCTGGATGAGGGTGCAGTCGTCTGCGTCTACCAGTACACACCAAGAAGGCAGGAAACAATTTCCTTCGCAACACACGCAAAAAAAACAACTTGGGAGGGATCACTCACTCACCTAGCTCCTGCTTAGCCTTCTCCCCCTCGTCCAGCGCTTGCCTCAGGCTCTCCACGCTCTCCATCGCCCCCTCCGCCCAAACCTCGCTGCTCACCTCATCTTCTCCGGCGGCGGGTTGCAATACATCCTTCAGCTTCAGGAGTTTCATCATCCGCTGAATCTACCGAATCGGTTTTGTTTACAGGGGCGGAGAACGGGGGGGGGGGGGGGGGGGGGGCTTTAAAAGTGGTAAAAAAAAAAA